TTGCATTTTTGGATTTAGCTTGGTCTAAGATGCTGACAGTTTCCCAGCTGAAACTAAGGTTGAGTCTGTCCATGTGTTGTGAGATGAAGGAGAACACTGCTATAATATTAGGTGGTACTTTAGTAAACCAGTGACTATCTGTAAATTTAATATATAAGGTAGACCTTTCTTGTTTGTTCGATTTTTTTCTCTCTCTTTTCTTTTTCTGTTTTATTACTTTTAAACGATTGTTTAGTTTAACTCTGTTATTGTAGTGTATCTTGGTATTTTGCCTGTATTTTGTGCTCTTCTAAAATAATGAATGAAAAAAGAAAACAAAAGAAGAACTTCCAGATCATCACCAATGAGATAAGAGATTTCCTGGCACAAGGAAGGAAGTTGGGAAAACAAAAAACATGTTTTAAAACTTAACATGATATCTGGAAAAGTAGGAAAGCAGGACTGGGAAGTTTTGAGGATGATTAAAAAAAAAAAGTCTAGTGCCATGAAGAAAAGTTAACCTTCATTTACTGTTCAACCCACTGACAGAAAATTGGCTTTTTAAGTTTCTTTTGAAGGAGAAAGAGGGTTTTGGTGGGTAGAGTGTAGAAATTCTGCTCTTATTTAATTACAACGTGGCTAAGGGGGAAGAAAAGATCCGAGAAATTGCTGGGCAGATTTGGATCCAGCATTAATGCACACACACTCATAGCCAGAGATCTGCCAGATGCAAACAAATGCTGTGGGAATCAGTAGCAGAGGATGAAGGAGGAACAAATCAAAGGAAAGCCCACATCTGACCCCAACAGTTGTTTTAGTCCCGGAACTTAGCTTACATTTCTTTCACACACAAATCCACTTTTCCAGTAAACCTTCTGCAACTGAGCAGCTTAATGTGGGGAAGGGAGGACACCTGCCTCATCCTGGTTGCAGTCATTAAATCACAGAGAGCACACTTTGTTCCTGCTGCTTGCCTTCAGTCCAAACTCCACAAGCCACACTTTTGCAAAAGACCTCATTTCAATCTCCAGCTAAAGAGGATTTCACTAGGGGACAAGATCAGTTTTGAATCTGGAGAACAGCACATAGCTACAAAAACCAAAGCACCAAATTACTGTGCAGCCTTCAGTATGTCCCATGTAGGCATGATGCATGATGCATACATCTATGGCTCTACGCTTGCAACCTACAAACAACTGGAATAATAACTTTCTGCTTGACCTACTGCCCACTTCAAGCCTCAGAGCATTTGGGTTTTTTCCACTTGTCACTCTCCCATTTCATATCCAGTCCCCTACTGCCCAGTGCCTTTGCAATACTCTGCAATAGTGTCCTTTGGGGGGATTTTCTAAAAGTTGGATTGACTTCATGCCCCTATCTTTGCACATGGAACAGGTCTCTACAAGCGGAGAACGGCTGGCTGGAGCAAGACAGCAAGGTCCTGTGCGCTTAAGAGCTTGTAAATGCATTCATGTGCCAGCTTCAGCAAGTTTGGAGAAACCACCCACTTTAAATAAGATAGCATCTGGGCAAAGAAAGCCTCTCCCGCACTGGTTAAAAAAAAAAATCAAGCTTTTATGCCTTTGCCTACACAATCCTGCCAGCTGCTTAGCCCAGCTATCCGCCCACCAGAGGATTAAGGGCACCAAACATAGCTGACACAAAACACGCAGCAGGGGATTCTGCTGGCACATTCAAAGGAACCCTGCTATCAAAATTCATCCTTTTTCTCAGCCCCATCTCCTTTTACACATACAGATGGATAAACACGGGCCACATTAGGAATATAGGAAGACCACTGCGAGGCATTCTGGGAGTTGTAGTTCAAGAGAGCCAGAGAGGGCCAGGTTGGAAAGGGCTGCCCCAGCGAGTCCTCCTTTTAAGCCACCCCATTACTGAACTGTCTCAGCAGCCAGCCAGCCAGCCTTACGCACAAGCCCAGCAGGGCGGGGGGGGGGGGGCTATAGATAGCCTCT